ACACCGTCCATCGTTGCTTTGATCAGTCTGATCAGCTTCCCAGGAAAGCCGTTCTCGTCCATGATTTTCCATAGCTCTGTGCGGTCGATACTGTCGTATGCTGCCTTAAAGTCGATGAACAAATGATGATGAAGATGATGATGGTCCCACCTCTTACCCCTACAAAGGTTTGAGCTGGACGATTTATCTTTAAGGTTCAATTTACTTTGATGCTGTTTGGAAAATTTCAAAAGCAGTTTTTTCCGACGCATTATTTTAGATTGCAAAAAGCTCGCGTCATTTTGTAAAAATATCAAAAGAAATCGAATAGTGCGAGCTTTTTGCAATCTAAAATAATGCGTCGGAAAAAACTGCTTTTGAAATTTTCCAAAAAGCATCAAAGTAAATTGAACCTTAAGATAATTAAATATGACATTTTAACCAGGTTGGCGAACAAAATCGAACTGGTTTCAGTTACAGATATAAATTCCCTCTAGAGTTTACAGTTGCTTCACAGCGATATAAATGTGGAAAAGCTCAGGCGTCCACCTCTTAGTTCGCCTTTTTGTCCACCTAAAATATTCATAAGTATTACTAGCAATCAATAGTTAATGAACAATCAACAAAGCATCCTATTACACTAGCAACCCCGCAATCTGATGCTATCATAATTTTCTGCAATGTCAGGAATGCTCACGAACCCCTAACATTTGCCAGAAAACTTACTACTAACTCAAGGTATCTTTCAATGCGTTGGGACCTGGTATTCACGGCATTTCTGGAGCATTTGCCGTACGGTGAAGATCTGGTCCGTTGTCGATCGGCCGTCGATGAAGCCGCAAATGCCGATAACTTCCCACGAACTCGGTCATTTTAGGTGATAGACGACAGAAGATGATCTGGGATAGCACTTTGTAGGCAGCATTCAAAATGGTGATCGCTCTGAAGTTCTCACATTCCAAATGGTCGCCTTTCTTGTGAATGGGGCAGATTACCCCCTCCTTCCACTCCTCCGGTAGCTGTTCTGTTTCCCAGATCTTGACTATCATCCGGTGCAGGCAGGTGGCCAGCTTTTCTGGGCCCATCTTGATGAGTTCGACTGCGATACCATCCTTACCAGCTGCTTTGTTGTTTTTGAGCTGCTGAATGGCATCATTAACTTCCCTCAGCGTGCACTGACGGACGTAGTCGTTTCCTCCATTGCGCTAGTTTCCCGTGCCTACGTTCTCCTCGCCATTCAAGTGCGCATTGAAGTGATGCTTCCACCTTTCAACCACCTCACGTCCGTCCGTCAAGAGGCTCCCGTCCTTATCCTTGCACATTTCGGCTCGCGATGCGGGATGCGTTGAGCTTCTGGTAGAACTTCTGTGTTTCTTGGGAACGGCACAGCAGTTCACTCCGCTTCTTCCAGGCGGCGTTTTTTCTTCCGAAAGATGCTGGTCTGCTGTTTCCACTTCTGTTTATACCGTTCCACGTTTTGTCGGGTTCCATGCTGCAGCATTACCGCCCGCGCTGCGTTCTTCTCCTTCAAAATTGCTCTGCACTCCTCGTCGAATCATTCATTCCGTCGACTTTTTTCCACATACCCGATGGTGCTCTAGGTTGCGTCGGTGATGGCTGCTTTTACTGTACTCCAGCAGTCCTCTAGAGGAGGCGCATCGAGCTCGCCCTCCTCTGGCAACGCTGCCTCGAGATTCTGCGCGTATGCTAAGGCGACATCCGGTTGCTTCAGTCGCTCTAGGTTGTACCGTGGTGGGCGTCGGTACCGATCATTGTTGATGACGGAAAGTTTTGGGCGCAGTTTGACCATCACCAGGTAGTGGTTAGAGTCGATGTTAGCGCCACGATAGGTCCTGACGTCGGAGAAGTGCCGTCCATCAATCAGAACGTGGTCGATTTGCGATTCCGTCTGCTGTGGTGATCTCCAGGTGTAACGATAAGGGAGGCTGTGTTGAAAAAAGGTGCTAAGTATGGCCATGTTCTTGGAGGTGGCGAAATCGATGAGTCGTAGGCCGTTCCCGTTCGTCAGCTGGTGGGCGCTGAACTTTCAAATCGTCGGTCTGAATTCCTCCTCCTGGTTTGCCTGAGCGTTTAGGTCTCCTATGATGATCTTGACGTCGTGGCTTGGGCACCGATCGTACTCGCGGTCCAGCTGCACGTAAAATGCGTCCTTGTCATCATCAGTGCTTCCGGAGTTAGGGCTGTGCACGTTGGTTATGCTAAAGTTATTATTATTATTTAACTTTATTAGGGAGACTTTCAGCCTTGGGCTGGTTTTATGCTAAAGTTGAAGAATCGGCCCTTGATCCTCAACCTGTACATTCTTTCGTCGATCGGCCACCAACCGATCACGCGCTTCTGCATTTCGCCAATCACGAGGAAAGCTGTGCCCAGCTCGCGTGTGTTGCCGCAACTCTGGTAGATGGTATGATTACCTCTAAACGTTCGCACCATGGATCCTGTCCAACACACCTCCTGCAGTGCTGCGATGCCAAATCCGCGGTCCTTCAGTAGATTGGCGAGTATTTGGCTGCTCCCGATGCAATTGAGAGATCGACAGTTCCACATACCGAGTTTCCAATCGCAAGTCCTATTTCATCGCTGGGTCGTTGGTCTCGGTTCGTATTCCTCTGTTGCTGATTTTCCGTTGCAATGCTTTTTTTACGGCTGGCTCGCAGGGCCTGACACCAACCCCCTAACTTTCCGGAGGACCAGGGTGCACAGTTGTGCTTAGAGTCCTTCACTTGCACTCGGACGTAGATCAGCTGCCCCTTACATGGGAAACAGACGCTGTTGTGAGCCGGTACCACGGGGAGGTAGGGATATGAGTTGCTGGAAAGAGGCTAGTGATCTCAATGGGATCTGTATTGCGCATTACCCAGCTTTTACCGAATCTCCATTACAACATCTAACGAATTCAAAACTCCGAAAATCACTCATCTATAGCAAGTGAGTGGAAGCAACCCTGCATGCAGCCCCTCTTTTCATGATACACTCTTTCTGCCTATCTTTCTATTAGGCCTGTGGACATGCGTTAGCTTCAAAACTTCTAACTAAATTGGGAAAATTTTCAAATCACAAAAAAAAATCTTGAAATAAACTCTCAAAAGTATTTACAAGTAAAACAAATATTGATTATTTTACGCAAAAACGAGCAAGTAATATTAAATCTCTTGTATCGTATGCCAATTCTAATTGACTGTAACAAAAATAAGATCCTTAAATAAAATAAAATATTAATAAAATTATATGCAAAATTTACTAGAAGATCATTAATTTATTGGTGAGAAGTTTCTAATAAGCCCTCCCAGTTCCTCTGTATACAGAACAAATCTGATACTATATTCAGAATTGCTCAGTCTGCATGAAGCAGCCGATTTCATCAAGGAAGTTCTATTAACAACCAAGAATTAATCGTTAGAGGCATACTGAAGCATTATGGTGATATATAAAAAGAAATTAAACATAACCCTTTGCTTCAGTACCGTCAACCTCCATGTGCATGGGGAGGGACTTTTTGTTCTTCTCGTACTAGCATTCAAAGTTGTAGCTGATAAAATTTCACATTAGTACAGATAGCAAACTTTTCCGCAGCCAGTGCAATATGAGTTCGCATCCAAATGAGCTCAAATTTTGGGAGAATTACCAGGACCTCATTTGAAATCGATAGAGATTGATGGAGCATAATTGATGTTTTTAACCACTCTAATATCCATATTGTAGGGTTATCCAGTCATTTGTTTAGTTAGCATTATAAGAATACTCATATAACTCATACCACTGATATATACAAAAAAATAGTAAATAACATGTGTTTAAGTTACCAGATTTAAAATTTTCGTAGTAGCCTAGTAGATGTTTGAGGCCGTTAACAGACATTCTCGATAGTTTTGTTCTATATATAAGGGAAACATACCTGACCAACAACAGTCTAAGTATTCCGTGATCCGTTTAATAAAGTCAGTCCAGTTTTCCGTTTGTGTACCAGAATAGAAAATCTGTGGTCTAGCTATCTGTGTCCTCTAGTGATAGTTCCAACCAGACCAAAATTCACGGCACCGACCCAACAGATGCTTAACAGTACTCAAGAAATTCACATGTTCTACATGTTTACTCATCATAACCGTGTGGGATTGTTTTTCTTGAGTAGTGCTATTATATTGAATTTGGAAAAAAAACCCTCGTTTCCGAAGAGAACTAAACGAGGGTTTTTCCAAATTCAATATAATAAAGTCACTTTCTATGGCAAGATGTAAGTACTCATAGGCATGACACGCTGCCATCTTTTCGTTACTCGCTATGCTTACTTGTTATTAGTAGAGATAGGGGTGCCACTTACCTGTAGGTATTGCACCCTGCCTCATCATGAAACATAGCATTTGTTCAGAAACAAACTATCATAAACATTCTATTGGTGGTTCAACGAAATTGGCTTTTTGTTGAGTCATGGTTTTAAAATATGAACTAATGACAACTTGAAACGCTGCAAAATGTTTCACAAGAATGATGAAAGAACGGTAAACAGAGAGTTAATTAACAATGAAACCATTATTTTTTAAACTTTTCCTTTAAAAGGAAACAAACTGTCCCCATTTCGTGTAATCTTATGAAATTCATCAACTGTCTTACATGATATGCTCCTCCCCTCTCTCGAATGGTTCTCTCCATTTAACAAGCCATGGTAGCATTTCTCTCAATGAAACACGTGCTTCCTAGCACGTGATGCACAAGAATCCTTTCATTCTAAATCTCCAGAACAACATTCGTGCATTAGATGCCTGTTTATGTTTGATGCCGGCCGGCATTCCAACGGATGCGTAGATGCTACTCCCATTATCGAATTCTGTCTCTATGAATTTACCGGGAACGAGCAAATAGCACACAACCGTCGATTAGCCCTGCTTACTATACGATACCTATAAGAGAGGTTCACCCCCACTACTCTTTGGGTACAGAGAGCTCAAACAAATTCTCTGCTTCTCTGGGTTTCTCTTCATGCTCGCAGTTTGTGAGCTGCTCATATATTGTACGGCATCGAAAACAAGAAATTCATTCACAAGTTATCCGCGGTGCCGATCAGAGGTCGAAATTCTACGCATAGTTTATTCATAAGAGAATATTTGTGGACCTTGCTGTAGTGGCAATCTATTATCATATCAGTTTTCGTCTAGTGTTTGAAGAGAAGTGGATTTCATATTTGACGTTGTAAATAAAATAATACCTGAAGCGGTTTTAATAGTGACAAATTAAACAATTACCAAAAAATTCAGTTCACTGAAAACGCAGTGAAAATGGTCCGTGTAGTACAAATGTGCAGTATTGCCTTGTTTGCGCTTTTGCTGCTTAGTAGCAGCCAGGTGTCAGAGCAGGCAGCGACGTTCATACAGGTATTGGAAGTCGAATTACTGTAAAGTGAAGCAAGTGATTTGCATCTAGTGCGAAATTACTTCATGTCTAGAGAATAACCAATTCCCTCAACCTCTAATGACATATGGAACACCATTTCGTTCATTCTACTACTCGATGATGGGTTCACAACTGCAGTGCGTGTTAGAACAGGAGTATGACAATATGCTCAATAAATAAGAGCAAACAACACTCACCCCCCAGTGAAAACAAAAACAACTATAGACACTGAAAATCAACTTCTGACCTTCAAAACGACCTGATAAATTGTCGAGAATAAAAAATCAGTCAAAACAAAATCATCCCATGCAGAATGTACATATGTACGGTTTCAGTGATGCAATAATTTTCTTAGCGATATTATCCAATAAGGAGGGCGCAATTTTATTATGGTAGAGCCAATTTATACATTGAAAAAAGTGCAGACGGATGCAAATCGGAAGTTAAAACTTACATAATAGCTTCTGTTAGATTTTGAGAATCATTCATATATATTCATGTAAAATCCAAACCTCTGATTTCGTTTAGCATCAATCGGAAAAAAAGATACTATCAAAATCAGTGCAATGACTTGAAGACGCACAATGCGATTATGTGAACTAAGCTGGAAATATGTGTGAGCAGTAATTTAACAAAAAAACAATCTTACTTACTGAAATTAGTTCCGCTTAGATTAAAACTGGCTTGACTCTGTTGTAATAATTGATTTATTATCACTATGTAAGTGCCTACATTTGATTTTTATAGGGTCCATAAAGAGCTGATGCAATACTATTAATTACGACTACTCACTGCACAAGGCCAAGCAGGTTCCAAAGAAATCCGTCGACAGTTCTGTGAGACGGAGCCAAATAACGATCATTACAAAGCACTTTTTTTAAGTCCTTTATGTCGCATCGTCAACGAAATGTGCTCATATTTTCTTATCGCAACAAAAATGTAAAGTTCATGTTCAGATCCTTGTTCTCATTAACAGTACACACAGTTTGACGCACGTTACAGCAGTTCCAAAGTACATATTTTATATTTGCGTTCTCCTGCCAGAGCTGAGTACACTCCCACTTCAGAAAGGAACTGAGTAATGTTTGTTGTGACGGATGCCAAATGCGTATAAACATTCGCTGATAATCAACAGTACCCTAGTACCTGTTTCCATTTCCGGTAAATGGTCCTATCTATTCAATTAATCGTGGAATGATCACTTCAACTGCAAGCAACAGCAAACGTATTTCAACCGTCATAATCCGATGTAATGTATATGTCAAAAAATAGGACCATAGAGCAAGAAAGACGCTGGCTAGCCCATTAGGCTGAAAAATGTGGTGTACGTGATTTGTTGTATACCGGGTATGAATGACAACACACCTAAATCATGTTTCGTTTGTTTTTACAAATAAACGACGTTTTGATGGTGTTTGTTACTTTTGTATCTCTTTTCTATGCGATCTACCTCAACCAAACTGCGATCGTCCTACAAACTCAGACCGAGTGATTTATGCTTGGCTGGCCCGGAAGCTACGTCGTACGATTATCAATTACTGCCAACGCAGCACACTCACGCATGAAAGACTCAATGAAAAGCATAATCTAACAACTCACATGAATGAACTCAGCTCTGACTGAATGGACTGGCGCTCCCCTTGCGTACGTGTATAGTAAATACGGTTGGTCCCGCCTCTATGCTCTTAGGTGTTTGTTGATTTGTTTTGTTTCTGTTTGTTTTGTTGGCGAGATTTCTGGTTCCATACGTAGCGATCAAAATTAGATAAGGTAACGCCAGTCAACGTAAACAAGTTTGACCTGTTTCTATCACGTCCCAGAACACGGATTATCGCACATTCGGGGTATGGCAGTGCTCCGTTATATTCAAGACTCGATGAAATTTAGTCATCTTAAATTAATCAAAATGTGTGAACTTATGCTTTATGCCTCCTTAACTGACATAAACGATTTCTATTCTAAATCGTCGCCATTTGTTACACCATTTCCAAATTACAGGAACATTCTGGGTTTGTCATGCACTTAGTCATTGACTTAGAGTCGATTAACCATAGACAAATGAAGTTTTTACGCGATTTCGTGTAATCTCAAATTGTAACAAAATTAAGTGTAATTTGTTTGAAAAACTATAAATAAATAATATAATAAAAAAAAATAAGGTGCCATTGAAAATTCTGTATGAGTATGAGGGCAACATTTAAAACATTAAAATCGCCTAAAAACAGTCTATATAGGATATAGGAGCTGGTCACATTGATGGTTACAAATAAAAGAGCCTTTTACCCTTTTTACAAAGAAAGCACAACATATCGCTTCCAAAACCGACTTTCAATCCGAGGCAGCAGGGCCGAGTGCCTATAACGCAATTGATAATAAAAGTGTTATCCCACATGGAAATCACTAATTGGGTGAACGATGCCTGTATGTTCTGGTCAGTCTCGGCTACGGCTATCTAAGGTTCTTAAGATATTCGGGCAGTCAATAAAGTTTGCTCATAAAACTTCTAACGGTGCACCACATGGCAAATGTATATTCAAAGCTTTGGTTGAACATTCCTAAAACTACACCTACCTACATCTATTCCTGCTTCACCTCTACAGTGACGACTATCACTGCACTTCTTCTGCTGCTGTTGCTACGATGATGGGACCCCGCCGAGATTAACTGGAATATACAGTCTTCGCACGGACACTCGGACATTTTCCCTATATTCTCGCGACGGATGCGCCATTTCGTGGTTTTTAAAACCGCATTTCTTGATGGCTCTATTCCTCGAGCGCTGAAGAACGGAAGCTGTACCGTGGTCTCCTTTTGTCGAATTATAACGTTTCTCTCGTTCTCAAAGCCAACGTTATCTCTGCTTTCGATTGCATATCAATTCGCGAGACCATTGTGGCATCAGATTCACACGTGGGTGTCAATAGTTCATTGCATTCTCCAAGGAAAATGGAGAAAAGAAGCCATAATGGCATTACCAATTAGCCCTATGTTTTAGAATCTGCTAGAATCTGCTTAAAACTAGCTTCGTCCGAAGGCTTCTTTTTTATCAAATTACACCTTTGGGAAAATACGTCTCGCTTATCGCCTCGTGTGCCTGGTCTCGATGCTGGGTAAGCGTTATTATAATTGACTCGATCGTGCAATGATGCCATCGCTCGTGATCGGTGGTAGCGAGTTTTTCACAGGTGTCTTTCTAGCTTTAAATTATTAATACTCCTGGTTTCAGATAACTAATACTCGTACTGTTCTGCACCGAACCAATGGCGATATTGATCATGCATCAGAACCCTAGTAGTAACCACCTTAAACTAGAGAACAAAGAATAAAAGATTAGGAGTCACATAGATGAAGAAAAACTTACTCATGTTTTTCCTTGTTTCAAGACCATCTTCGATGGATCAACCGTCACCTAGCCCAAGTAACATTGCTAGTTTTATCGACGTTTTAAAGTAGTCTACTAGTCTGAATTATTTAGTTATTTTAAACTACCAACTGGAACAGGTTTTTAACTATAAACTTACACGAGTAACGTTCTGAAATATCAGTAAATGAAAGCTGTAATTTACACAGTCACGAAAATGTGTTCGTCGATAAATAAATCATATTAAATTGAACTGTTGACTTCCATGTAAAAACACACAAGTAAACTGTGTATGCAAGTAAAATTCAACGCAAATTATTGATTTATTAAATACTTTCATGTTAAATTAAAATTTGATTTTTCATGTTTCACCTAAGGCCAGAAAATACATCAATGTGCCACATGTAAATATACAAAGATTTTGCTGTGTAGAACCGTCATAAACCAAAATTGTAACATGTGTTCTTTTGATTACTAAAAAATCCTGTTAGTTTGAAGTTGTCAGGGCTAGGGTTTGGCGGTAAGTGGCGCCGGTGGTGTAGTGGTAAGCGTGATTGCCTCTCACTCAAAAGGGCCTGGGTTCAATCCGAGTCGGCACCGTCGGGATTTTCTGAGGCCTAAAATCTCTGATCACGCCTTTCTTCGGAAGAGACGTAAAGCCGTTGCTCCCTGGCCCATGAGTTGATAGGTCGATATGTAGGGTCCAGGTGTAGGAGTTGCCTCCCTGGCTTCGGTAGCATTGGTGCTCAGCACGAAAAACAAGATCGACGGAAAACAAATCAAGGAAGAATTCGGTGGTAGATCTAACACCGTAGCGGACCACGAAGACGTGATCTTCCCGTGTTACGTGTGGAGCCGCAACCCATCATACGACACATCAAATCACAGAAAATTTAAGAAAAAGATCATAAGCGATCATATTGTGCACCACGGATGATGCGGGTTCTCCTGAGAAGTAGCCAGAATATTGCATGAAATTTTGCACCATAGACGACTTTGGTCACAACCTGAGTGGTGCGGAGTCAACCACTTTAATTTTCAAGATATTTTGCTTGAAAAATATTCAATTTCTTGCCTCTTGTTTACATCCTCTCAACCCCGCTTAAAAATTGGCACCTTTTTTCCAGAGCAAAAATGAGAACTCGTTCGTGACTTTCTCATTTAACAATTGCTTGAGTGAGCCAATATTTTGTTAAATTCGGAATAAGCTTTAAAATCGCTACCAAATAACAAACAGATCAATATCAAGTCACACCTTCGAATATGCTTTTGCTGTTTTCCTTTAGACCCATTTATTTTGATGTTGAAGTTGAGGATGTTTACAGTCATTAGTGATTATTGCAATGAATTAATCATACTTTTTATTGGTGTGATAGGCAATAGGCAATAGGCAATTTAATTTAAGGATAACATTTTGTGTGTTGATCCTAATACGTTATCTTTCGAACGAATCTCTTCAAGGGACGTAAAACTTGGTGCTGGTCCTGATCGTTGGATTTTATTTTTACAGCCCAAGTTGATTTTTTTTGACACCCTTTCGGGTGGCTCCCCACCATGCTTGGCATACACAGTTTTGGTCACGATCTGCTCATTTGCTAATAACTTTGCACACAGTTGATAAAACATAGTTCTGTTTGAAGCAGTAGATAGAATAAAGTTTAAGCTTGTAATAGATACGTTGGTGCTGGTCCTGATCGTTGGATTTTGTTTTTACAGCCCAAGTTGATTTTTTTTGACAACCCTTTCGAGTGGCTCCCCAGTGGGGACAATATGACACTTTCTCCGGAGCACTCATCACGACCAGGTGTGACCTGAGTGGTGGGGAGTCCCCACCACTCAGGTCACACCTGGTCGTGATGAGTGCTCCGGAGAAAGTGTCATATTAGTTGCTGCTGATGCACTCGAAAAAGTGTTCAGATTCTGACTTGAGTGTTTGTGTGTGTGGATACAATCCATCTCCCACTGACGGTAGTGCTTATATGGAAGAATCCTGCCTGCATCTATTTGTTGATAAATCTATTTTTATTGATAGATGCAAACATGTTTAGCCCTGGAGCCCTTTAGCCCATTCCAAGAATGCCTGTTCATACACGTACATTCTGAGGTCATCTTCATATACAATAAGCTACGCATGAACACATTCACATATCAAATGGATATCTGAAGTGGGTTCACCCTTCCAGAATTAAAATAATTCTTCTTTGATACTGGCACTTATTTAGTAATAAAATTATAGATTAAATTTTTATGGATAAACAGAAATAATTTAATATATGGTAAATAAACTTAGCCAAGCGTTCCAAACCCTTAGTTAGAATAAACGGCACTTCATACCACGGCACAGAAAGGATTTGATTCTACATTCAACTCATATCACTGATCCCAAGTAACATTGTAGGTTTTATCGTGGTTTTATAGCATTCTACAAGTCTAAATCATGGTTTACAGAACCCTCATAAAACCAAAATTGTTACTTGGGATCACTGTGACAAATACTAGGGACACGTAGAATTTGATAATTATCGCTTGAAACTCCTTTTAATACCACTGCTGTGCTATCAATTTATATTTTTCTAGATCAAAATTGTGATTATTTGAAAATTAAAAATTTGCAAGAGTGAGAACGACGTAGCAAAACAAAACACGTCATTTTCATAGCAAAGCTACTTGAATCCTTTCAAATTGTTCCGATTCTGTATTGAGCCATAAGGGATTAAGGATCAATTCTCGATTACTTTTTCGAAGGGGCGTATCAGCTTTTGTAAACAATGCATTTGATCGTCGATTTGGCGTAACTGGTAGCTCGCTCACACATACTAACGCCACTATCAGGTAGGGGAAAATTTCCTTAACTGTTAAAATGCGTGGGTGAGCTACCAGTTACGCCAAATCGACGATCATATGCATTGTTTACAAAAGCTGATAGGGTTAACTACCCCGTTTCCGGCCTATTAAGCACAACCCGCACTTAGTCTTTCTTAATCTTGCGTAGTTTAGCACCAAACGGAATGTTATTATTACTGATGACTTCCAGATTTATCTACCTTTTTTTTATGTACCATAAGATTTGATAAAGAGAAACAAATTGTTGAAATATTCTTAAAAGTCTAACACTGCTTCTTGACGCTAAACTCGGCCTACGGATTCTAAACTCAGCCTAACGCATTGAAACTCCATTGAAACGATAATGAATTCACTTGGGCCTATCGGATGAAGATAATGATTGATTCGATCGGAGCGCTTCATTTGTTTTTTAAGAATATTGGGTGCAAATATTCATATCATGCGTTCTTATTGACTTCGTTCGGTAACATTCATATCATGCGTTCTTATTGATTTCGTTCGGTAGCATACTAAACTATTGTACCAATCGCGTAATTTATCTGTTAACACTGAAATCATGGATTTATTTTATGTTTTCTGCTTGATAGGCCCGAAATGGGTGCTTAGGCCGAAGTAGTTCTCTACCCTACGTCCCTTCGAAAAAGTAGTCGAGAATTATTGACATAATAAAAATGTCTGACTTCTATTCTTGATCGCGAGTTGAAGCATTTTTGCTGCATTTTAAATTCATTGGAATAAATACAATATGTCATTGAATCTTAATAGCTTTTCCTAGCCCGACATCTTAAGAAGTTTTCTTATTTCAGGATCAGGATCTCAGTAATGAAAATAATTACCAGAATTTTGAAAAAATAAATCATGTCAGGGATCTATAGAATAATGTTCTAAATCTAAGAGTCAATTTTTTTTACGAAACAATTCTGAAAATATAATGATAAGTGCAGTAATTAAGTGCAGTACTCTGTCAATAATTTGTCCAAGTTAAATAGCTCCTTCAATAAAAAAAAACTTGAAACCTCCTAAAATATATAGAAATATATTTTAATATATATATATTAGACCTGTTCATTTTAAACGAAATGTTCCGAATGTAACGGGTCAACCGTGATTACTGTTTGTCATGTTAATTTGTACTTCTGTGTAAATTTTCAGCAAAATCGATGATGATTTAGAGGTGCTTCAAGTTAATTTTATGTTTTTAAGGTAATTTACGGCTTACAATATTTGTATCTCGAGACTGAAATAACGAAAACTGCTGTAACAACTTTCATAGCAAAGTTTAATGTGTCATGTATCAACTTTGTAACCAAAGGTTGACTATTAGAAGTGATTTTATTGAAGTTTGACTTAGTTTCATGCTCGAAGATATCTTAAAATGTGAAGAATTTTAAAGTATTTGTTCTACGAATTTTCCACCCATATGATATAAAAATGTGTAGTGTACGGCATAATGTTCCTCATATTGTTCTAAAAGTTTCGTTCCAACATAGTTTTCGTGTATATTTCATAGATTGAGAGATAAAAATCAGAAAAGAGGCCGTTTAGCTAAAATTCACAAGACAACAGAACCAATAAAAGTCAATTAGATTGACAGAACATAGTTGCATTGCTTTTCAATGACGACCGATGAGTGTTTCATTGATATATGATTTTTTCATAAATATGAATCCTCAGTAGACGTGTTTTTTTAGCAAATTTAGCAAACCGTCTCTGATTTACAATCCACTTCTAAATTTCATGCTCCACAACGTGCTCGTTGAATCCACGCCAGTTAGCTCATCGCAGAGTAGTGAACTGTTCTACACAGCAAAAAAATAATTTTGATATCACGTCAAAGTGGATGCACTATAATCATGTCGAAAATATGGTGTAATATTACTTGCTAAAAAGGACACTGCTTTTACTACATTTGTTTATTTATGTGGTCATAAAAATTACATGAAATTTTCGACATGATTGTAGTGCATCCACTTTGATGTGATATCAAAATTATTTTTTTGCTGTGTATTTAGTCATCATAAGCACATTTTGCTCCCTATAATTGCGCTCATATGGTTAATTTTCAAACATGTTTCCGATTTCTTTCCACTTGCAGCCCCTAGTGCGAATTCCTCGATCCACCGATGTCGAGCAAGAGGAAAAATGTACGGACAATACGGCTTGTGGATGGGCTGTCTACAAACCCTTTACACGATCGATCGAAAACTACATGCGGAACACGTAAGTGCTGTCGTTAATCCGTTACATTTAGATAGTAAATCAATTTTCAACCACCACAGATGTTCATGCGCAGAACCTACCAAGTGTATTCGTACAGATGACGATTTATCGATCAGTGCGTTTGTGTACCGGTGCCGGAAAACGGATAGCCAGAATACGCGCTAATTCGGAACGATCGTCTCAGCCTGTAGAACTTCTCCGTCTAAACTTTAGTTTTAACTTCACCACATAGTTATTTGGTACCCAGTAAAACAAAACTTTATTTAAATTCCTCCTCTCTAATTATTTAACTTATATCGTATTGGCATGTTTCTTTCCCTATTTTCATCATTCAGCGATTATTTAAAATCAGTTTACTTTAACTTCATAGCCAATAACTGTATCAACTCTCCGAATACTAACTTCCTAGAGACTTGATTATATGTGCTTCGACAGACGCAAATGAACTGTTAAAGTTTGTCGCGAAGTGAAAATATTTAGAAACATAGAAGTCAAGATGAATGATTAATTAGCTTTTAATATACATAAGACGCGTCAAACAGTTCCTTTATTATGTGGATTAGTAATCAATGTTAATTAGCATTTCTATGACATAATCACAAACGGTCTTAACAAGACACTAAAATTTCTTTTAAAAAGAGTTTAAATTGGAAAAATAGTCAGCACATGAGCGCAGTGAATAATATTGTAACCTGCCACGTAAAAAAAACAGACTGGCATGAATCGACCACACAGCAATTAACCATGGCGTATCCCATCGATTAATCTTTTTATTCTTACCTAATTAAATCCAATTTGAACTGACATCATCTGGCGACTGTTTTAAATGATACTTAAATATTATGCGAAAGCGATACGCTACAGCAGCTAAAGACTATTTTCATCGGAATAGTACAAACATATGGATTATTTTCACAAATACAGTTCCACACTAAGAAATTGGTAGCAAAGACGTTTCAGAACATGAGCGCCTACAAGCCAGTGGCAACTGGTATGGGAAGCATAGTTAAACCGACATTATAATGTTAGAAACGTACTTAAAATTGTACCCATGAGCTTTTATTGTTGCCTTTTCCATGACACCTAAAGTGCGCAAATTAACATTGATGCTAATAAAATCTTCCGGGTAATCTCCATTCTGGTACAGCAGTATTTATAGCAGGGATTTTCCCACAATAAATGACAAACTTTGAGAAATTGCAACAAAGTCCTCTACAACGCCGATCACAATAGCCATACATCCATCTCAACAACTCACGAAATCGAAATGAGACAGTAACGAAATGAAAATCAGTATTTGATAAGAAGGCAAGAAATAAAACGCACAATATGCTGCTAAGGTAGAGAGAGAATTTGGATGAAACATAAGCCTAGGTTAAGCTTGATATTTGTACGACTGCAATATCAATTACTTTGTATTGAGATCAATAAACTTTAATAAATAAAAAGATTTATTTAGCGATAAGACTACAGCTTTCAATCCAGTGTGATATATCACATATACATATACATACATATACATTTCATAAGTAGTGATAAATATTAAAAAAAAAAACTTATCCACCTATGGTGAGATCTGACCCATTTTACTTATTTAAATTCCGACAACATTTCTCAAGTCCGCATTAGAGGAATATAAGTAAGATAATTGCAGAATGATATTCAGATCTGTGACTAAAATTTCATGCGATCGGAACATGCGGAACATGCAGGGAGTATACTGGCCACATGTCTGGATGTGCTGAGTGACCTGAGCACTCAAAATGACTACCTTTAAATTGGTTGATGCATTCTCATGACAATGATATTTTATGTGTCGCATGATGGATTCTGGAACAATTCAGAAAGTGGCCACTCTACCGAGGGTACCCGGAACAAGTCCGAATGTGGGTAATATGGTTCTAGGAACTTGATATTACCATAGAGGTAACTCTAAGACCAGAAGGTCCCGAAATAACGTGCTCAACTTTTTGGCTCAGCTCTGGTACTCTCTTCGGTCCCAAGCTAATCGATTCACCCCTCGAAACATAGGAAAATCCTAGAAGCCCTCATTTTATCTGTCAAACTTTCATAGCGAATCAAAACATACATAGTGTAGTACTAGAATTTCGACTAGAATGGGGTACGTAAATCGTTTGCTTGGGAACAATTTAAAATCGTTAGTTTTCACCGATTGTTACTACTATTAAACTTGTTCTGGAATTCTCATGTGTCGCATGATGGGTTTGGACAAATCAGATACTGTCCACTTTCCCGGGGGCTACTGGAAACTGGGGCCACCGGGTGTGATCAATGTGGTCCTGGGCACCCAGTTAAACTTCAATTGAACACGTTTGTAAGTTCTCATGTAGTTTAAGGTGTCAAATGATGGATTTTGGTCCAAAGTAGAATCTATGATAGAATGCTGCAAAAATTCAATTAGCAAAGCGTTTACATTACGAACAATGTTAGTAGGGTATAAACAAAAAAACAGTTTCATGTTTTTAATTTTTTTTTTTTTTCAATTGCTGTTTATTTATTACTATCTGAGATCCTCGACTTTGCTTGAGAATTGGGTTCTTTAAGGGTATTGAGGTAAATGCATATTCGTAATCTGCATTAAAAATGGAACCCTAACCCAAAATTTCATCAATTTTGGTACACTGGAACTATTTTAAATAAGTACGATTACATTTGCAAAAATCACCTTAGTTCCAAACAGTGAAGTTATTATCTTGCTTTAAATCCTGATTTAAAAATCAAGATGAAAATATGTGGGTTCGAAAAAAATATCGCTGTGCTCAGAAAACGAAGCTCTTCCAGATGATGTATAAAAACCGATACATTTTTCAAAATTAAAGAACCCAATTGAAATGTTCTGAAATGTGCATTGCAATTCGTCAATCAAGTGTAGTTGATATAATTATAATTACATGTTATGTCTTAGAAGCCATGTGGGTAATTTCTGTATAGTTTTTAAAACTTTTTGGCAATGAAATTTTACTGGAATCGGGTTTTAATTCCAATATCCGCGTAAAAACAAACCGCGCACACTCCAAAAACCGCTGTAAAAAAAACCTTCCAAAAATGTGTTTTAAACGCGTTTCTGACAAAATCTGTGTGCCTGTTAAAATCCAAAATCCACTTGAATAAAAACTGCATGAATCTCAAAACAGCGTAAAACCAACAAGTGGTTATCCAAGAGTTGGGCGTACTTCGGTCCTGGTGAAAAGGACCTAGCAAGTTATCTACAATAGTTGATAGGCCCTTTTCAAATGTTACGCGAGCATTATTCATGTGTTCATCAGGGCCCCGCTGTTGTGTCAAATTTTGTTCAGTAGATAAACAAAAGTTCTCCCGTGCACTCGTCTATAGGCTCAATCGTTTATTGTTATTTTTAATAGAGAAGCTGAAGGAAATGCTCTGCCCTTTTGAACCTCGTTTTGAACTACGCTTATGAGATTCACAAATATTTTTGAATAACCCGTTCGTACCTACAAACTAGAGAAGATGGAAAATTCCGAAGTTATTTCAGTCCATACCTTCACTTTCAAGGATATAAGTGAAGGGACGGAGAGGGTACACTAATCCCTCCACCAGAGATTTTATGCCTCAAAAACTCGAAACCATGATTCTTGTAAATTCGAAAACATTTTCTTTTTGATTTAACAATCCATTAGTTTTTAGAAATAAAGATACTGGATTGTTGAAATAATAATGATTTCTTTTTGCAGCCAAAACAAAATGAAATTCTTATTAATTTTACGTCAAATATTATCACGTTTAAAATATAAGACTAGTAGGTCCCGAAGAAACGTGCTCCACTTTTTGGCTCAGCTCTGGTACTATCTTCGGTCCCAAGCTAATCGATGTACCCCTCGAAACATAAGAAAATCCATGAACCCCTCATTTTATCTGTCAAACTTTCATAGCATATCAAAACAAACATAGTTTAGTACTAGAATTTCGACTAGAATAGGATACGTTAACCGTTTGCTTGGGACCAATAGGTTAATCAAGTAGTGAGCCAATTTAAAATCGTTAGTTTCGAATTGATTGTTAACGGCGCCGGTGGTGTAGTGGTAAGCTTGATTACCTCTCACCCCAGCAGGCCTGGGTTCAATCCCAGTCGGCACCGTCGGGATGTTGTTCTGAGGCATAACATCTCTGATCACGCCTTCCTCCGGATGGGAAGTAAAGCCGTTGGTCCCCGGTTCATGAGTTGATGGGTCGATAGGTAGGGTCCAGGTGTGGGAGCTGCCTTCCTGGCACGTCGGTAGCATTGGTGCTCAGCACGGAAAACAAGATCGACGAAAAAAACAAACCTAAGGAAAAAAAAAAAAGAATTGATTGTTGCTACTAGTCTTAGAGTTACCTCTATGCTAGTACCATAGAGGCAACTCTAAGACTAAAAGGTCCCGAAGGAACGTGCTCAACTTTTTGAATCAGCTCTGGTACTATCTTCGATCCCAAGCTAATCGATGCACCCCTCGAAACAGGAAAATCCTCGGACCCCTCATTTTATCTGTCAAACTTTCATAGTAAATCAAAACAAACATTGTGTAGTATTAGAATTTCGACTAGAATGTGGTACGTTCATCGATTTGCTTGGGACCAATAGGCTAGTCAAGTAGTGACCCAATTTTAAATCGTTAAATCTTAATCACAATTCCAGATGCTCAAAAAATCTCACACTAGCGAATCAATCTTCAGGAATTCTTAAAAATCGACATAAATCTTCCTTCTATCTACTCAGCGTGCGTGCAGCTAGCCACAGCAAAACACAATCTTTTCTGCATCGTAGATAGAGTCGCCCCCCTCGGGTTGGTATAACAGTGTACAATGCTGAATAAAACGGAATGTCTAATTATGTTCTGAAAAAACCTCATTGAGATCTATAGATGCGCCTTTATTCCGCTTTTTTCTCTGACCTGAATAATTTACTAATCAAAAGCTATATAAACATTGACTGTCTTCCTGATTCATCACCAGAAGTTTCATCTAATAACAAACTAAATACACACTTTAAAAAATCATGTACATTTATGTGCTCTGAGACTGACATATACGAGCGTCAATCTTGACGTAGAAATGAAATACAAGTTTACGTGAATCAATGTTTACATCACTATTAAAATTCAGAATTTTTATCTGTGTGCGTTTGATTGAGCTATGTTTCACGTCTGTTATAACTTCAATTTATGTCAAAATTGACACTCGTATATTTCACTCCAGAGCACCTAAATTTACATGATTTTTTCTAAGTCTGTATTAATTCATTATACCATTATTCATTATTCCAGTATTCTTTTCATGGAAATTGGAGAGGTGAAGAGATAGCATTGGTCCCACATATTAAGAAATAACTACATTTTCGCGAGACATAAACCATATTGGACGTAAATCATGGAACGTAAACAAACATTTCATGTAAAATTAAATGATCTCAATCCGAAACATAAGGAACTCGACGAAGAGAACGTTTGATTGAATTGGGTTCTTTAAGGGTATTGAGGTAAATGCATATTCGTAATATGCATTAAAAATGGAACCCAAACCCATAATTTCATCAATTTTGGTACACTGGAACTATTTTAAATAAGTACGATTACATTTGCAAAAATCACCTTATTAGCGCCCCTCGGTGTCGCTTTGTATGGGAGCGAGCTGTCAGTTTGTTAGTTTAGTGTCAAACAGTGAAGTTATTATTTTAAATCGAGATGAAAGTGTGTGGGTTCGAAAAAAAAATATCGCTGTGCTCCGAAAACGAAACTCTTTCAGATGATGTATTAAAAACGATCCATTTTTCAAAATTAAAGAACCCAATTGATTTGCTTGCTTCTTTCTACTGATTCTTATATCAAAAGGGCCGCTTACATATGTCGGTCTCAGGGAATCTAAATTTACATGACATTTTCGCATCTAAAACAACGATGAATGATTAATCATTCCCACAACTCCTTGAAGTAGCTACACACTTAGAAAAAATCATGTAAATTTAGGTGCTCTGAGACTGACACATATATTCAGCTCAATCAAACTTTTCAGTCTCAGAGCACTTAATTTTACACCAGTTGCAATCGGGAGGCATGATAGGTATATACACCTTTATAACATCGCTGTTTAAGGAAGCAATGAGGTCTAATAAACGCTAAATAATCAAAAAAAAAATGGTCGGATAATCTCTGTTACAACTCATGTAAGTCGATTAAGAGCTTCCCGACATACCTTATACAACACCATGTAGTTCAATGTTGTGGTTGAATAAATTCTCCAGATTTCTGTGAACAATACCGGACAGAAGATATTATTTAAAATAGGGGAAATGGCTCTAATGTTGGCCTATGGATCTAAGATTGGGCCCATCGCTAAAAATCTGCTATTTATCAATTGTATCTAGATGAACGCGTCATTGGGACGGTACTAATAGATATTTTTGATTGCTATTGAAAATTTAGTCGATTGCTGAATTTATGTATGGGCCTA